CACCGCTTGTTCCTTAGATTACATCGTCCTAGTGTCTAGTTGCACTCTGAATGAATGGTACTGGTCAGTTGGGAAGGAAGGTAGGCAATACTTTGAAGTGTTAGGAACAAAGGAGGGGGCCCCGTCAATATGTACCAACCATCGTGTGGTGCCATACACTTGACTTCAGGTTGCCACGCGATTCCAAGCGATTTACGACGCCATCGGCCCGCTCTCCATCGTGTCCCTCTACATACTGTTGGAGCATTGACCAATTGGCCTTATACCCTTTGCGTGACATTTGGGGATCTCACTGCCAAGGGTGTACCAAGGGCAGTGGCACAGTAGACTCAGCAAGGTTTCAAACCTACCAATTTTTGACAATCCGTTCTTTTCAAGTCTCTCTTGTGCATTGCTTTGGTGTCCAACGTCATGGATGCTCAATAACAGTCCTCATCAATCACTGACACGAAAGGAAGACTTCTTTGCCTTACAACAGAGTTCAGCTGGTCGACAACGAATTCTTGAACAACAAGTGAGGTCTAGCAATCGCGCCGGTATATCCGAGATCTTGAGGGGAAGTCAGAACGCACTAGGCTTGGCCTACATCACGACCACCTAAACCGGACTGGTCCCAGCCCCCCGGCGCCTACGCAAACATCGCTACTTGAGCATTTGGCGTGTGCATCGAGCGCTGGTGCTGAGGATCGATCCCGTAGGGCATGCCACTAAGCCATCATGATTGCGCGGCCGTTGCCACAAGCAGGATCACTGTTGTGAGTACTCGTGTGAGCTGTACAAATATTTCGATGACAACAAGCAAACTGCAACCGGCGATGCAGCCCAAGAAAAGCATAAGAAAGCGTGGTAGAGCTTGGCATGAGCACGCATTTGATACCTGCGACCAGACCATATTTCAAAGTTCAAAGCTTTGTCTTCTTAGTCTTCTTGGTTAGACAGATGTCGCCAAAGACAGGTCTCATGGCGTGCCCTCGTCTTCATGAGAGATGACATTCACTAAGACACGTTCGATCCAGATGCAGACCCAGTATGCGCAGTCCTATGCTGCATTGTACCGGTGCAGCTACAACCTTTGACATGATATAGCGTTGTTTGCCTCATCAGGGCTGTGTTATATTGCAGTCAAATAACTTCATCTCTCGTGGCGGAAATGATGCGCCCCGAAAAACTTTTCGTTAGTCCAAACGCTCTACCGCTCCAGGCGAGAGGTGAAGGTGTGAGGTTCTGTAGCAATCCAGGAACGAGGTCTGTTCTCTCAGTAAGCGAGGCCTTACTGGCATCACATCCCTGCATCATTTCCTCTGGGAATCGAAAACATGATTGCCCATTCAAGATCTTCAGGCACACTCCAACGTGGCAGTAGTTCAGACGCCTACTCGTCTGAGTAGTTTTCCCTGTCCATTAGACCCTGCGTGATTTTGGCTAGGCATCGAGAAATTTCCCGCATTTCCATGACATTGTGCATTCGCTGTCAAGCCGTGTCGAAATTAAACAGTAAATTGCAGCATCGGCCAGTGCTCCGTACACTTGCCTGCGCTATCGAACCTTCTCATTCGTTTATGCAATCTTTGATGCACATAAGCCTGGCGATCAGAGGCCTCAGCGTGCGGAGTAACATTGCTTAGCATGGCCAAAGGGCCCGAAGAGAGTGCGAAGAAGTAGCTTTCTTGGCTTTGTAAGCTCGCACTGGGGGCATGCATCATTGTCAGTTATTTCGCCAGGGGCAATTGGGGATATGGTCTTTGGTAGTTGAGCATTACCAGTATCCTTAACATGTGAAGAAGAGATATAGGACAGATCTTTTTATGCAATTCGTTGGGCTTTGTAGAGCATATGCAAACCGCAGCAAACGAATATCCATCAGCCTTTGTAGAAATTGTAATGATCAAAATCGGGAACCGGTAGGTCTTCTTGCGCCACGAAAGCGGTCGACTGTGTCGGAATGTACTCGCTGAACAAGTCAGCCATGCTTGAATTGGGCGCAAACCCTAGGTTTTGCATGAACTGTGGCTGTGTGTCTATTCGGGTCGTACTATCCAAGGAGGCCAACTCGTCGAAGAAGTACTCAAGATCGCTATTGAGTTCAGGATAGCGTGGATCTGGGGCTGCTGGGCTGGTTACTGCGAGTTGAGCGCCCGACGCTGTCTGAGCGGTTGGATGGAGCGCCTCATAACCAGTTGATACGTTGCCCGTTATACTGATTTGATGGTTTGGCTGTATGATTGGTAGGGGCATCGATTGCGGCTCAATCCCTAAGCCCTCTGCACCGTCCACGCTACCCCGCCAGCTTGGATTCGCAGGACTGCTGTCTTGTGGCGGGTTGCCACTTGCGTGACATGACCACACGGTAGCCAATTCACCTTGGAGCTCTCGAAATCGTACTAGAGTCGACTCGCCCACCATATGATGGTCAGTCTTTCTGTTGACAAATTCTAACAGACATTGTATAACTGGTGGTAAAGATGTGAACCCGACGAGCTTCTTATATCGTTCCAATAATTGCAACACACGTTGAAGTCCTTGCGCCGAAGGATTGGATGTGAATAATATGCAGTAGTACGTGAGTTGGAGGAGAGTAGCGGGGGGACATAGTCCGGCTAACGCGATATCTGAACGTATGTAGCCAAGTTTCGGCGGTAAAGTCATTTCCCAGTTCTTAATTCGATCATCGATGGATCTTCCACAGTCATCTGCGACAGGCTCTTTTTCGATACTCGCAAGTATATCAACCAGGTCCAGGAGACTGTTGAAGGAGCTTATAGCCAGCATAGGCATTCGCATCTGTTCTAGTCGTGAAGAATGGCCGTACCAAGGCTGCCATTCCTCCAAGCCGTCCTCATCTATGGCGCCGAGGTGTCTTAAATACCCTATCTGGAAGTGTGGTCGCCTATTCAGTTGTGTCGCAAGCAGGCTATCCAGCAGAAAACATCCAGAGATAGCATGCTTTCGTCGAGAGCTAGCCATGAAATTTGACGAGTCTCCCGATTCCAGCAGTCGTGACGCATGGCCAACTAGCAGCCAAGCTGACTGTGAACGAGACAGCATAATATTGTATAAAGCAAGATTCAGTAAAGCCCTGACATGGCCAATATCAAAATGACCCAGTTCCGTGGGAATCCATAATCTCGCAATGTTGTATAGCTGCGTCGGTCTTCCTGAAGATTGTCTCGATGGCGAAGATGGGACAGCTGAACTCGCGTTATACAATGAGGCTACGGCCAATATGCTCCACAGCTCTGCAAGCGAACCGGATTCCGCGTGGCCGGTGGCTAGCGATATTCCTTCCTGCGGGTATGAATAAGACAACTTCAAAATATCGTGTTTCTCGCATATAGGGAGCCACGCCTGAGTATAGGTAAAGTAAGTATCGAAAAGAGCCCAACTGTCTGATGGCATCATCACAAAATCATTGTAAGCCACTTGTGGATGTCGCTCAAAGTCCAATCGCATATAGCGTTCTCGTGCTGCCAGATCGGTTTGTGCGGGTTCGGAATCTCTTCCAATAGGAGCTGATTGTGATTGGTCTGGTTCAGAGTCCTCATCATCGGAAGAAGGCGAGTTCTGATCATGATGTTCATGGCGTGAAGGCTCTCCTCCCGAGAGAAGCTTGTCAACGTCGGTGTAGAATCGCGCCTTGCGCCACCGCTTGTGCAGCCTCGTAGCCTCTTTCGAATCGCGACTCAAGAAGAGTGAGGAGGCGCCTTCTTGTACAAGTTTATCATTCAATATCGCCTCATTATTGGGATCCTGCTGGAATAGCCACACAAGCGCCAGCTCGAGGCTGCGAATGTAGCCTGGCTGGATACCTCTCTTCTTGGGATTCGCCGTATACGTACACTTTCTCTTTGATGCGGAGCATGTGGAACATATAGGCTGTGACCCATCACACTTTTCTCTTGCAGTACGGCATTGATCACATGCCCGGGAGACGCGTGTCCGTTTTGCGGGCTTCTCTGCAGGTTCGTTCACAGTTCGGCGTTTGCCATGACTTTGAGTAGGCATAATATAGTCGCAAAAGGAAGGATGGGCCGTTATGGAGATATTTCATCCAGTTTGAAAAGCCCTGCAATGGTCTCGTAACAATTGATGGCAATTATTGCGAGGAATGTACATATGTATCATGCGAGGTCCAACGACCTTGTTGAGTCCCTCATCAGAGAGATGGCATCAGGACTCGCAGCGGATACTAAAAGAGAATCGATGTCGTCTATAAGATTTGCGTGAGGCAGTGGTAGGTCCCTGGGCGGTATGTAGATCTACTCATAGTCAGCAAGGTCTGCAAACGAAGCTTGGAAGGGATACAGGCGTCAGCAGATCATATTACCTAATCAAAGAAAGTGGTAGAGGCTGGGTTCCAGGTAGTACAAATTAGCCGTCCTGCCGTTTGATTGATTATCGTCTGCTACGAGACCTCATGCTGTGATGGGCGGCCGAGCTCGGAAGCGGATGCTGCGGGGGAAGAACTCTTTGCCGGCGGCTCCCTCGGGTTAGCGGCTCCGCGCTCAGACCCTCGACATGAACACTTTCACTCTTCCAGCTCAAAACTGGATAATTCCTATTATCCATCAATGCCAGGTTTGATGGACGGGATGAGAGAAATTCGTACTAAAACTCAAGTGATATACTACTTCTCTCCCGATTCACCAGGCTGAAATACCATTCTGCAAATCAAGCGAACACGACCATTTTCCTGAGTAGTAGCAGGCCATACGACGTAGAGCATCAGGTATCGAGATATCTCTGGCTCTCATTGGACAATACCGGGGAAGGACTTACTCTTGGAGTTATTCCGTTTGAGAGGGGACGAGGAGCGATCTCCATTCCCAATCTCTTTGACAGGACTGCAAGAGGATCTGAGGACGTGAACCGGATTTGGAGCACAGATCGTTCGAATATGGCAGTGGCCATCGCAACGAAACGATCATTCGCTACTATGGAGGAAGACAAAGTTGCAACCGGTAGTCGCCCTGTTGATGAAAGAGAACCATCCGCGAACCCGGATTCATCGAAGAGCAGCAGAGTTGATAGAGAGGATTCAACACATCTGACTGATACCCAGGCCCTGTTCTCTGGTCATTCAGCAGAAGCAAGACAAAACTCGAGCGAGCCATCTAAATCCTCTCCATGTACGCCTGCCGCTACTTTGCTACCAATTGATAAGCACCGTAATTTCAAGCTACATGCTTCCATCGCATTGATTGGCTTGCGCGGTACTGGAAAGTCAACATTGGCTGTGATCGCGTCAATGGCATGTCGACGGCGTGTCATTGAAATTGACAGCCTATTCGAGCAAGCAACTGGCTTTTCAACGGCAAAATATCGCAAGCAGTTCGGTGCTGCTAATCACAACCTGCGGCAGGATGAACTGCTACGTAGCGCTTTGCACACATACGACACGGGTGCGATTATTGTTTGCAACGGTGGCTCGCTGGAAAGAAATGGCCAACTCCTGATGCAAGAGTTTGCCAAAACGCATCCAGTAGTACACGTGGTGCGAGATCTTCACAGTGTACATGGCTACCTAGAGGGGGTTGATCTTCAACGACTCAAAGATATGATGGCATTTAGCGCACCGATCCTACGGCGCTGCTCCAACTACGAGTTCTACAACCTCTCCGAGACAACAAGCGTAGCCGCTTCAGATACTCCTTCCGACCAGCCGCCACCACCCGCATTTCTCACACTTCAAAAGACACAGCGGACTTTCCTAAAATTCCTGTCGCTCATCATTCCCCGAAAGAGCAGCACGAGTGGATCGGTTGGACCGTCTGTACCTCCTTTGGAGCCTGGCTACCCACTTTCAGATGTAGCCACTGAGCTCAGAAAGTACACTTATGCCGTTCAGGTTCCCCTGGATGAACTGTCGGTCGACAAGGTCGATATTAGCCGTTTGGAGTACGGTTGCGATGTCTTCGAAATCGTCGTTGATCCCATACGACATGGACTCGCAGCAAACATTGATGTTTTGAGCAGGGCGATGTCAAGAGTCAGACGAAGCACCATTGTACCAATCGTCTGTCACGTATTGCCGACATCCAATGTTAGTGAGAACCGGGCGTCATATCTCGAATATGTACAACACGGCCTCAGATTGGCGCCAGAATATGCCACTGTTGATCTTTCTCTAAACCACGAGACAATTGCGGGAATATTAGCAGCGAAAGGCCCAACGAAGATGATAGGATGTCTACACACTACTAAATCTTGGGAAGACTCCTTCTGGGTCACACATTACGAGCACGCGATTCACTTGGGCTGTGCAGCCGTCCGCTTCTCTCGCCCAAGCGATTCCATAGACGACGACGATTCCATCCAAAACTTTAGATCGCGCATCTCGAAGCGCGAAGACCAGATACCATTGGTGTGCTTCAATACCGGACAGGCTGGTCGACGTTCACAATGTTTCAATCGCCATCTCACGCCCGTACTACCAGAAAGAAAAGATTGCCACGAGGATACATCACCGACGGCATGGCTCACGGCCAGGGAAATAACAAAAGCGCTCTATGCTTCCTTTACCTTTGATCCCATGCAGCTCTACATCATCGGTGCTAGCCTCGAGTACACCGTTTCGCCCGCCATGCACAACGCTGCGTACGAATCCTGCGGCATGCCCCACCAATTCCATCGGATCTCGACGACCTCATCATTGAGCAGTCTGCGCGAGCTCATCAAGAACCCGAATTTCGGCGGCTCAATTGTTATTCAGCCGTACAAGGTGGAAGTCATGTCGCTCGCAGACGCACTCAGTCAACATGCCCGAGCCATTGGCGCCGTGAACACCCTGATACCAGTCCGCCATGTCAAACCCGATGGCAGCGTTCCCGATAGCCTTGAACTCTTCCACGAGCGCTGCCAGGCCGGTCCCATACGCGCCCTTTACGGAGACAACACCGAATGGATCGGCATACGATCCTGCGTCCGACGCGGCCTCTCACCCGCCAACGCAGTGCGAGCCAGCAGCACGGCGCTCATCATTGGCGCCGGCGGAATGGCCAGAGCAGCCGTTTACGCGCTCTTGCAACTCGGTATCCGCCACATCCTTATCTTCAACCGGACCTACGCCAGAGCTCAGCACCTCGTCTCCCATTTCTCCCGCTTCGTCTCTACTCCGCCGTCAGATCACCCGCCCCCTGTCCCGCCCAACCTCGACTTCAAAGCAACTTTCCACATCCTCCCCTCTCGCGATACCCCCTGGCCCGACACCCTCAGCCCCCCCACCATCATCCTCTCCTGTATCCCCACGGACCCCATCGACGGCAGTCCCGCCGCCCAGTTCACGCTGCCCCCTCACTGGATGACAAGTCCCACGGGCGGCGTGGTCATGGAAACAGCGTACAAGACGCTGGACACGCCGCTCGCCCAACAGGTCCGCGACGCCCCGTCCAGGCTGTGGACGTACATGGACGGCTTGGACTTTTTGCCCGAGCAGGCGTTTGCCCAGTTTGAGCTGTTTACGGGGAGGCGGGCGCCGAGGCGGGTTATGCGCGAGGAGGTGTTGAGGGCGTGGAGGGATGAGCAGGGGAATGCGGATGGGGAGATGGTGGGGAGGTTGGAGGCTGTTGCGGGGAGGGAGCCATGAGGACTTGGGAGATATGGAGGTAAAGTTTTGGGAGCGTTTTGTTTGGGGTTGGGTACGTGAGGGTTTGGTTTTTACTATGTACAGGAGAATCATACGTCGTGAACATATCGCGTGGAACAACACCAGGTCGTCTGCACCGGTACCGTACCTATCAATCATAACTCATCCACCCCTCCATCCAACATACCCAACCCTAAACTCAAACCCAAACTCCCAAATCAGCAGACTTGCCCAAAAGCATCAGACCCTCGCTCCTCCGAAAAAAGCAAAGGAAAAGGAAAAAGAAAGAAAAAAGATCGCCGCCCAAACAATCACCCTCGCACCCTCAAAATCCTCCCCAACCCCGCCGAAACCCTCTTCTCCCGCTCCTCCTTACTCCTCCTTGAACTCGAGCGACTCGAGCTGGTCTTGCTGGAGCCCGTTGCACTGGCCGGAGACGTCTCGCGACGTTGGCGGGTGCTGGGCTTGGAGTGAGAGTCTGCGCTCGTGGTGGAGACGAGTGTGTCGCTGCGTTTGCGGAGGCGGCGGGGTGGGGAGGAGGGTTGGGGTTGTGAGTGGGGTTGGGAGTGAGGTTGGGAGTGGGATGGGTAAGAGTAGGGGTAGGGGTAGGGGTAGGGGTAGGGGTAGGGGTATTGAAGGGGGAGTTGGGTGTATGTTGGGTCGGCGTGGGGATGTTGAGTGGGAAGTGCCGGTGCATGTTGATGTTCTTGTAGTTGTTGTTGTTGCTGCTGCTTCTGCTTGCCTTTCTCCGTCGACACAGCACGAGAGCTGCGTCGTCGGTGCGTCGTGTCCACCAGCGTACGCTCACTCTCCGGCGTCACAGCACGAGTCGCAGGAGGACTTCTACGGCGCGGGGGAGACGGCACATGTATTTCCCGCT